TTATGCTAGAAATGTGCTGTCCGCCTGTTTGCAGGGTAGGAAGGATACGATGAGAATCAAAGGCTTGGCAGGATGAGCATTTTCATCCTCGTAGATGTGAACTCCCCATCTGCCGTGGACTCCAAGGCGTGGAACTGTTTAGCTCAAATATCATTATTAGAAGCAGAAAATAGAGCCCATAAAACTCCCTCCTTACACCCCAAAAAAGCAATTCCAGGACCCTTTATCCTGCTTGAGAACAAGCCATTCCTGCATTAATTTCCCTGCTGTGGCTGGGCTTGCTGCCAGCAGAAGGAGGCTCAGTGCTTTGGCAGAAGATGCACGGCCTGGGGCAGGTCCTTGCTCCTCTGCAGTGTCACCACTCCAGGGATTTAGAAACAGAGCTGGGGCTGGGCAGTGTGGGGCCAAGCCACGCTCCTGCCAGGCTGTGGAGGATTGGCAGGGGCTGCATCTGCAGTGGGAATTGCTCCCACTGGGATGGAATGGGATGGAAACCAGAACTGGATCCACGTCCCATGGCTGGGCAGACACTGCTGGCAGTGCCAGCCTTGGAAGTCACCATCCTGCCACCCTGCCAAGCACCCAGAGGCCCCATGCAGCACCCTGGGGGCTCAGCTGCTGAGGCCAAGGTGTCCCCGGGGCACTGAACCTGACACACGGGACGCCAGGGGGCTGCAGAGCCGCATCTGAAGCACCCCAGGTGGATTCAGCCATCCTGGAATGGTTTCTGGGGGAGACAGTTGTGAAGCCACAGGGTCAGCTCAGGGGACAGAGATGTATCTGCTGTGACAGTCTTCCATTCCAGTCTCCCCACAGAGCTGCATTAAGTGACAGTTCAGTGCCCTGTGCCAGAGGAGGCGGTTCTATAGGTGGCCATCACTCCAGGCATGCTTCTGGTGACTCCTTCACACTGCAAGAGATTCCTGACATTTTTGAGGACAATATAAGCTCCAGCTGCTTGGCATTGCCTACAACTTCCAAAGACCCTCCTGCAGATCCAGGCTGTGCCATTGCCATCTGCTGATGGAGAGCACCGACCCAGCCTAAGGTCTCACACGTGGTATTTGGACTGATGGTTTGGCAGCAGGGGGACGTTTTTACTGCTCCAGTATCAGGTAAGGGTCTTTCTCTAGCAAATCTTTCCATTGTTTGTTAACTGTAAATAGCTGTGGATGAAATTTGATGAAGGCATCTATTGTTTCCTTACAGCTCTGCTTTGTTGAGTGGAATAGGGATCTCAGCCATGTGGAGTTTTATTATTATTTAATTTGTAGCTGCCCATAATCAGCAAATTCTTTTAGGTGAGGCTTTTGGCATTTTATATTCAGCATTCTTGCTGTCTGTAAAACCAGCCTAAACCTTTCCTTCTGTTCCTAAAGGCATCTAGTTTAAATTCAAAGTCCATCCATTATAACTTCAGCACCTTGTAATCCCTCAGAGATATGTGCAATTACTCTCTGAAATATCCCAGGAGCAAAACTAATACCAAGCATCATCTGCTTAAATTCACAACATCCAACTAGCACAGTAAAAGCCACTAGCTTAGGGGTTAGCTCATCTGAGCACACTTGCCAAAACACATATCCTGCATCTAATACTGCTTTTGCTGCTGAGGATTTAGCTGCCACCTCAGGAATCTTCATTGGACAGCACTCACATTTTATGGTTTTATTTAAATAGCAGGAGTGGATGCACATGTCCTCCATCTGGCATTTGGGTGTCAGCCAGTGAGCTCGCCCGGCCTGCACAGCCCCTGCCTTCTCCAAGTTGTGTTTCCTCAGGTTCTCAGCCATGAGCTTGTCTCCATCCTTCATCCTAGGAGCAGTTCAGCCATAATTTCTGTCAGAGGCTTGGGATGAAGGACACGGGCACTTACGCTGCAGCTGAAGCAAATTCTTGCATAACATGGCTTTGCTTCTCCTTTCCATTCCTTAGAGTTTTACAGCCCTTTTCATCCAAGCCTATTGACTTCATCCCTATAAATCCAATGATTTTTCCATAAGGATTAGTGTCAGATTCTCCCTGCAGACATCTTGGGTCTTGGAAGACAAAGGAGTGTTCTACTGAGGGCTGGCTGGTGAGCCTGAGGCATTTCCAGCCACGGCTTTGAAATGCACTGCATGGCCAGGCAGGGCTTCAGCCCCAGGGCACTCATCCACCACTGGGATCTGGGAAGCCAGGACATGGGAGGGATCCCAATAGTGCACTGGGATGTGGATACCTGGATATGAAATCAGCACTGTGTGGGTTCTTCCTGCCCTTGGAGGCCGTGGAAAAGCTGGGAGAGGAATTATCTAGATCCAACACCAGGGCTTCAAAGCTGGGTACAAGATGAAGCTGGAGAGGGAAATTTAGAGTGAAGAAATGGTCAAACGGACAACCAGGGAAATCCTGAAAGGTAAAACTGCCTCTGAGAGTTCCTCCTCAGCTTTTCAGCTTTCCCTGGGCACACAGAGCAGGGTTTGCACATCACAGCACTGACTGTGCCACAGCCACCCATCCATGGGAGCTGGGCTGAAATACACAGGCACCAGAAACAGAAAAAGGGCATTAGGCACCAAGGGATATGGAAGAGGAAGGAAACTCTGCACACATCAGCATGAGGGTTTGAGCATTTTATTATGATATATAAATTTTGTCTTCTTAAATTACTCTCTATGAGTTGAACAGAAAGGGATTATGGAGGAGGAAGGAATATACAAAAATAAAAGGATATTGTGAGCTACTGCATCACCACATATACAACAGTAAAGTACTTTACAAGCACTTAGAGAATCAGACTTACAAAAATAAAAATATGACACATCCTTATGCATTTCCACCACTTATAAGTTCTCTTCTTCCTTCTCTAACCTTCAGGCACCTTTCAATCCCATCCTCAGGTCACAACTCATATGATAGGATACTTTGCTCATTCTGATGGCCATTACAGTATCTGAAAAAGAATTAGTGCCTCCCAAGACTTATAAAATCCACTGGTAATAGAGCTTTAGGGGAGCTGTTTAGAACAGATCAATTTGTGAGTGATCAGGTGATCCTCAGGGAGCAGACTTTATCTGGCAATAAAAATCTGAATATCCCCCAAGAAGATCCATCATCCCTCCAAAGCATTCCCCCGTCTCAGCTCTGTGCCTGTTTGATTGATGCACAGAAAGCACCTCGTGAGCCTGGGGAATGCTGATGCTCACAGGCTGCAGCAGGGCTGAGTGACTGTGGCAGAGAATGGATCTGATTTTGTTTCAGCTCTAAAAAAGACAAAGATGCCTTTTCCTACAGGAAAAGAGGCAGGTTAAAACCACAATGGCTAAATATCCTAGATCACAGTGTTCACACACAGAACCATTCACCTCTATGTCAGATTCACACAGCCTTTAGTCTTCAGTTTGAAGTCTCCACAAAGTCTTTTTTGCTCATTAGCCCTCTGGTGACCTTTTCCATTTTTTTAAGACACACTCAACATAAATAGTAAACAGCATTCACTTCTCTGACCAGCAGCTCACTCAAACACTGCTATCAACACCCAAACACCATTTCAACAGTCCCAGAAAAAGTGCACCCAGGGTGCAGATCAGTCTGTATTTCACATTGAGGAAAGTAGAGCTGGCTTAGGAAGGAAAAAAAAAAAAAAAAAAAAAGAAAAAGACAAACTATAAAGACAAGCAGTAAACTTTTGGTCAAAGTTGTTCTCTGCAGTTTGTGCAACATATTCCACAGCTTCTAAAAGTTCAATATTTGGTTAGGGTTTCATCTTTTTGGCCCCAAATGCAATGACAGCAATGCAAGCAGGCCAGACAGGAGCACACTCTGTTGTATTCCAGGGCAAAAGAATCATAGGGAGAGATGGGAGAGACCCCCTACCTTTGAGATAAGGACTTACCATATTGAAAAAAAAACCAATCTTCCCCTCATCAAAAAAGATAAAGGCAGTGTCTGACTTTACCCATCAGGCTTGCAGAGCTGTGGGCAACATGCACATCAGGAACCTGGGGAGAAATGGTGTAGCCACAGTCCCAGCTGCTCAAGGAAACTCACATTTCCATGGTCTAAATTTATCATTTGTATCTTTGAGAAAACATACAGGAACAAACATCTGTTGGCTGAGATCAACAACACTCCATTTAAAAGAAAAGCACCTCCCTAGTGGGACTAATTGTTCCTTTCAGATGTACAACCACACTACAGGTATGGCACAAGGCACTTTTGGCTGCCCAGAGTGATTCTTCATTGGCAACACAAAAAGACAATTCAGTTGCTGGTGTTTAAGCAAAACAAAAAAATTCATCACTGTTCCCAGTCATGAGTAAGACAAACTTTGGCTTTTCCAGCACTGCCTAACCCAGCCACAGGGATGGGAGCAGCAGGGACAGAGTGGGCAGGCAGGCTGGGATGTGAGGACTTGACCCTCTGTGGTCTCCTTGGCCTCTGGAAAAACAGAGTCCCTTTCCAACACCAGAGAGAATAAAATCAGCTTGTGATGGGCGCATGGCAGATACCATATAAGAAGGGATTTTTCAAAAATTCCTCCAGATCTCAGGCACTTGGCAATGTCCCAGTTTGGATGTGGCCCAGGGTGATAGTCCCACCACAGCCACCATGGCTACACAGCTCAGAATGTGCTCACCAGCCTAGAAACCCAAGCTTCTTTCTATCTTTTTTTTTTCCCCTACATGGCAAAACCAGAAAAGCTGCTTAAACTCAAAGGAGCAGGAGCATGTTAGGTCACTTCTGGTGTATTTGCAGAGAAAACAAAGCATGAAGCTTCAAAGAGGCCTGGGCTGGGTGTGTGGGACCCTCAGGTGCCAAGGATGCAGCCCTCCACTGCACCCTCCTGGGGTCACATCCACCTGAGAGACTTTGCCTCAGCAGCCCCTCTCCCTGTGAGGTGAAAGTCCAGGTTGAGGTTCAGTCTCTCTGCTGGATTTGTATTTGCACACTGGGTTTTTTTGGCTTGCCTTGAATTCTCTTTTACTGTTGCAGCTGACAGTGGACAGAGTGGGTAGAAACCTGCAGCCAGTCATGAAGAAAGGGATTTTTCTGAGGAAAAGCTGTCCTGCTCAAAGACCACCATGTTCAAGAACAGCAGCTTTGTGCTCAAAGCAGGGGAATAATCCAGCTGTTCAAAGGGCAAAGCCTGATGTGTGGTCGGACCAGGGAGAGGCTCTGAGGTCAGCCTGTCTCCACCAGTCCCCTCTGTCATCGTGCAGGGATCTCCTGGATGTGAGTCTGGCCTTGCTTTTGGACCTGGGTTGCCCTGCTGTCAGCCTGGGACCCTGCCCTTGGCACAGACCCTCAGGGATGCAGGCACTGAGCCCTCCATGTGGCACAGGGGCATTTCCCCTGCTCCCAAGGCCCATCAGCAGCACATGGCCAACAGGACAGACCCAAAGATGAACCAGCAAGTAAGTGCATCACCAGCCTCACTGCACTGGGGCCATGTTCATCCAGGCACCAACTCCCTGCTGCCTAAGCCAGCTCTGTTTGCTGGAGCCCAGGGGAGAAGGGTTGCTTCAGGCATAATAATCCCTCTGGAGGCAGATGCTGCTTTTCCAGGCTTTGATGCTGACAGACAGTGACAGCAGAATCTGACCACTAACAAATATAGTCCTTGTTTGTGCTGCTGTAAAGGATTCAACAGTAGGTGGAAGCCTTGGAAATCCTTTGAGGGGTTCTTCCTACCAAGCCCTAACTCCCAGTGGACAGGGAGAGTTCAGCACTGCCATAACACACATCTTTCAGCACTAACGATGCTCCAGCTGTCAGGATTGAAGTTTGTATTTAAAGACTTTATATTTACCTCTGGTGGAAAAACTGTGCTACATTTTAAACAAGAGAACTCTGTTTCATAAAGGTCACAGTTCTGGTCACATTTACCAACTGCTTTTGGAAACTGATGGAAAAAGTATCTTTATAAGTCACTAATTTTATTATTTTTTCAAGTTTCTCAGACTTTTTTTTTTAAATCTCGGCGGGTTTGTGCGTCAACTGTTCTGGGCAATCAGCTACGTCTTGTTGACATTGTTAATAGGCTTTCTGACTTGGCTGCTCAGCTGTGTTCTGAAATAACTCCATCAGACTCACAGCAAGTCAGGAACAAAATGGAAAGTTTAGAAGAGAGAAAGCTGGAAATTAATTTCAGGAGCTGTGTGGTTATTTCTAAGTCGGAGCAGCATGCAAAAATTCTTAGTAAGATTTTTGGAGACAATTCCGTGCTATTTTCAAAGTTATATGTTTGTGGGAATCCAGGCTCTTGCAGATTTTCAGCAAGAGACCGAAGTGAAGATAAAGCAGGAGATGGGACTCATGACTGGGGAATGTTTTACCTTAGGATGGTTGCACTGACTCCTGCTCACTGTTCCTTGGTACTGTTGCAGAGACAGTTCAGCTGTTTGTGAAGTTGCTGTTTTTAGTGCTACAGCCTGGCTGAGTAAGGAAAACCCAGATGGATTTGGGCTCTTCAATCCTTCAAGCTCTACACTGAGAAAGTTTGGCTGCTCCTCTGCAGGCAGAAAAGCTGCCCATGCCACAAATATGGAAACTATTGAGAGGGTGAGTTAACCCTGCCCTGGCTTCAAAGAAACCAGGGAACTTTCTGCTCTACACTCCTCTCTGCAATACAGCCACACCCTGAAACTCAGAAGGGCTGCAAGTGCATACAGATCCCTTAAATTAGGTGTTGGAGGCAGTGAACAGCATGGCACAGTTGGTATGGCAATACTTTTGATAGAAGGGCACTGGGCTCCTAAATCTCTCAGTCACTTTTAGAAACTAGCCCTTCAGCTGTTTATTTTCCTCAGTCTCCCTCCTTGCTCCTGGCTGGGCTCACAAAAGATGTGTCTGTGCATCACAGCAGGCCTTCCTCCCATCTCCTGGTTGTGCTGTGCTTTGCTATGGTATACAAACATCCAGCTGCTAGCAAGAGCTGGGGAACCTGTTTAAATCCTCTTTTCTTGGGGTGACAGTGTCCACTCCTCCCAGGAAGTGAGGTGACTGTGGTGCTGTAATAGGGCAGCTCTCACTGAGAGGAGCTGTTGGAGCAAGCTGTGATGTACTGGTACAATTAACCACCTCCTCTGCATTTCAGCTCTCAAAGAGATCTGGCCTGGTGTGTGCTGGGCCGAACAGACGCTGACTCTGCAGTTGGCCTTCCCTGTGCAGAGACCAAAATAGCTCTGAAGCTTACAATGACTCTCACCTATGTGCTAGACAAGACCTACAGAGCTCATAAGGCATCACTCTGCAATGGGTAACAGGGTCCTTTGTCATCTTGATTTCATCTAAACACAAGCCAAAAATAGATACGCTCGGAGAAAAAAAAACAAAACAAACAACCCAAAAATAAAATCCAGATCATGAATGTCAGGAACGTCGCAAAACACAAGCCAGCCTCTCACTGATCAAAACCATCCTGTGCCCTGCAAGCCTCGAGAGCTGCTCTCCAGCCATGAATGTTCAGTTGCCACCAGGCAAGGCGCAGCCAGAGCCCCGTGCAGGCCGTGCCCCGGCGGGGTGGCGCGGATCAGAGGGTCTCGCTGTACATGACGCACGGGCTGGTTTCCTCACACAGTTCCAGCTGCACGCTGGAAGCGAACCAGCGCTTGGCACAGCCCAAGCTGTAGTTGAGGGTGGTCCGGTAAATGTTCTTGGCACGCTTAGGGAAAATGATGGTCGTGCTCTGAAACCTCACCGGCTTCTGGCGGGGCTCGAAGATCAGCTGGGACTTGTAGTTGCGCCAGGTGCAGTTGGGAGCGGCGATGATGGTCTCGCTGTAGGTGGTGACCGTGGGGATGGGGCCGTAGAAGATGTCGTCCCGGTAGTGCTTCTCCGAGTCGTACTTCACCTCGGAATTGCACCTACGGAGGACAGCAAGGGATCAGGAGCACAGCCCAGGCAGCAAAGGAGGCCAGACAGGCAGGACTCCTCTCTAACCCTTCGAAGCTGGCAGCATTTACCACCTCCTACTGCACAGACACTGGGGAGGTGCCAACTCTACAACCCAAAGCCAAGAGGACTCTGTCCTGCTGGGGAATCTTGTTGGAACCCCACCTTGCTGTGAATCCATCTCAGCGTTTCTGCAATACAGCAGAACCAGGGCTGAAAACACCTTGCTGCAGAGGCTACAAGCCACAACTCTTCTTCCTCTGGTTTTCTCCATGGGTCCCAGTGGGGCCTCAGCTCAGCCCTAGGAGCTACACTGGAGGCAGACAAACACCCTGTAAACCTGTTGAGCTGTCAAGGCTGTTAGTCTTTTCTTTCTTCATTGCACAAAAATGCCCAAACCAGCTAAAATCTGAGTGCTGGGAGGGGTGAGGATGCTTGTTGGAGCCTACAAAAAATCCAAGCAATGCTGAAAGAGCAGGAAAACCAAAGGGATATTGTGGGCTATGGCTGCTCAAGCCACTGGTCTCAAAGGAACTGGCCACCTGAAATGCCAACAGATGGAGAACCACAAAAGGTAGGATACCATGACCCTGCCTTTTTTCTGCAGCCATCCAGAAAGGATGTACAGACACCGGGTCAGAAAAAGGGCTTTTCCTGGAATTCCTAGCCATGGGGAACAGGACTGCCACTGATTTTCCCCGCTCCTCAAATGCTCCTCCAACAATCAGCAGCCAAGGAATGTGCAGTTCCACGTAAAAAAGATTAAAAGCTGGGTGTGTGCTTGTCATTACCTCCACCCAGGGGGGGGCTGACTGATTGTGCACCGCGTGTAATCTGAGCTGCTGTAATGTATTTTGCACAGCTAGGGTGTAAGCAAGTCATTCAGCACACATAAAACAAGACTCCGATGTAATCACCATAAAAACATGCCCGCTGGCAGTTCCTCAGCCAGCAGAGATTTACTGGGGTACATTTCCAGAGAGACTTTTGCATGGGCTGAGGGGGTTTACAGTCCTCCCACTGTCCCTGACCCAAGCTGTGTGTAAGTGCACCATGCTGTTTGCAGGATACATCCCACATCAGCAAAAGAGCAAATGAAGAGCAAAGACCAACATTTATCCATGGCCACAACACCAGCCCCACAGGAGGGCAGAACATCTCCATCACTGGCTTGAGGGACCATCTCCTCACACAGAAGAGCTCAGTCTCTGTGGGCTGTCTAATGCTGGTTTCTCTGTGGCAAGAGTGAACAAAAACAGGTGCCAATTAGAAGGGTGTTGCTGCTTCTGAAGATACAAGTCATCTGGGAACAGTATGAAGACCATCAGATTACCTAGTGGAGGCCATCAAGCCCACAGATGGTAATGGTTTTCTCTCATAGCCTTGGATTTTAGCTGGCCTTGGAAGGAAAGCTGCCTTCCTGTTAAAACTTCCTTCCAGTTCTTGCCTCCTCCTCCTCTCTGCTTGTGTTGCTGCCAGTGGCTTTAATTCAGGAATTACCCTCCCACCTGTCCTTCCCTTTCCATCAAAATAACCATGACTCCCATTAGTAAACACATTTTCATTTTTGGCAGAAGCACCAGCAGAAAGACAGAAATCCCCATCTACCCACCCAATCCCATCTGTACCTGATTTCCTGCACAGGCTCAGGGTTGACCTCAATGCTTTCTCCAAAAAACACCGGGTACATTCGAGGCCTTATCTCAGGCATGGACGGGTTCAGGAGCAGATAAGGCATCTGCAGGGAAGGAGAGCACAGCAAGTGTTGGAACACGACAGATGGGGCTGGCACAGTTCATAACGTGCTGTGGCTGGCAGTTGAGCAGCCTAACAGAACACCTGGACTGTCCTCACCAACCAACACCTCCCCCTGCCCCAGCACACCTCCCAGGTACGTGACTGTGCCCACATCTCGTCACTTCTTGCGGCAGTATCTGTTTGTTGAAATTTAACCTTGCCTTTCCTTCTTCCTGTCTTGTTTCTCATTGGAATTGCAATTGTTTTCAAGTTTTCTTTAGCCCTGATATTGCCTTTACTGATAGGAATTAACAAGTCTTAAAAAAATCAAAATGTGTCAGCATGGAGAAGTGTTCCATGTCTGACCTAACACAGCGACAGGGCCTAAGGCTGCTGACTTGAAGCATGTAGGTTTACTGAAGTGAGATATGTATATGTATTTTTAAAGATATATATACACATATGTACATAAAATCATGTTTCCCTTGAAACAATCCAGCAGAGGAAGTGATAGACTTGCTGTTCCCGAAGTCTCCGTGCCAAAAATTGCTCTTGTGCTCCAAAGGACATTCTTGTTAACCATAAAACTGAGGGTGGGGTGAGACACTGGGGCACCTTGTGGCCTCTGCAATGCAGGAAGCCAATTACAAGCCAGCACTTTATAACGAATGGAGCAGCTCCAATTCATGACACCAAAAACTGGATTTTTAAGACTAACTGCACTGTGAACTTACTTACTCTGACAAATTGTCACAGACCAGCCTAGGCTCCTCTGCCCACCACAGAAATGACTAATCCCACTTCTCTATACTGAATGCTCTTAAACACCAGTTCCCACATATGGGGATCCTGTGTCTGGTGCCTGGACCAAACCCAGCAGCTAATTCAGCCTAATCCTGCCCTCCTGGAAAAATGTCACTGCAGGTTTCAGTCTCTGCCGCAGCTTTTCTGTCAGCAGATATTTATGACGCACAGGGACACAGGATCTCCTTAAAGGGGATAGCTGGCAGCCTCTGTGCTGTCTGTAGATGGCTAGCTGAGGTCTGCTTTCCTCTGCTGGTTTGGGCCTTCTGCCTCAGGCTAAGGCAAAAAATGTCACTGCTCCATCTGAATTTGCCAAGCCATTTAATTCCGTGTCCCAAAGCCACAAAGCTGTTTCTTCTTTTCATACTGAAATTTCCCTGTGCTTTACAACTGTGTAAAGTTTTACTATTAAGTAAAATGGCCAACCCCTCTTTTTGATGGAATACTGCTCCATTGTCAAAACAGGACAGCATCTGCATAGTTATAGGGGGAAAAAAGAAAAAAAAATATATGTTCACTCTCCCTAGCAAAGACTGGCCAAAAGGCAAAGTTCATTCCTGAATTGCTTTCAACACTCTTGACAGGGGAGGGCAAGGGCAGCCTTTCTGGTCGTAAATAAAGCTCTTTGCTTCTGAAATGTGAATTGTTTACATCAGACAAGCCTCAGTTCACAAGGGTGCAGATGTCCAGCTTGTAACAGTCTGCACAAGGCCAGAGCTCTTTCTAAAGACATTCTGTATATAAGAAGAGGTTCCTTTGGGTGCAGGCGTCAAACACCATTTGCACATGGTCATGAGCTTTGTGAACAGCAGGCAGGCTCCCCTTGGGGGTTCACCTGCAGAGGGATGCAGATTGCTTGAACTGGTGAAGGAAACAAGGCTGGGGATGTGTGTCCCTCCTTTAAAGAAGCAGTTTCAAAGAAGTGCTTCCAGGCAAACAAGCCTTCACACTTCTTGCTAACAAATGCTGACACTAAGTGTGCTCCAAACATCCCCAGGATGCAGGAGATGTTATGAAGTCTTTCCTGTGGCCTAGCAGGAACATTGCTGGGGCATCTGGCCCCCAGTGTGTGCATGGGAAGAGCCTTCCCAACCCGCTGAGCACCGGGGGTGCTGCTCGGTCAGAGCGTGGGCACGGCGGCAATCGCCGTCTGTGCAGAGCTCAAGTCCCACAGCAGGGAACAGGAAACAAGAACACGCTGCAGAAACACCACCAGAGTGCACGGAGAAACAGAGGTGCTGGCGTGCACGACTGACATCAATCAGAGTCAAAAATCTGCTGCTGAACTCGGTGAGAGCAGGATTAAGTGTTCTCCAGGTTAGTGCTGGATGGGGTGTGATGAGACTATTTCCATTAGGGGTTACAGTTAACCTTGCTCTGGGCAGGGAAGGGTGGCAAAAGGCATTTCATAGGCTGTGGATGAGCACCAACTTCAGACTTGCAGGCTTGGCTTAGTTTAGAAAGCTGGAACAACTGAGAACACTGGCAGGCCAAAGCCAGGACTTCTGCTGCCTGTCGAGACCATTACAGACTCAGGCCTCTCTTCTGTGAGCTGCTGTAGATCAGAAACTTCGAAGTAACCTGGAAGTCTGCACGTGGAAGATGTAAATAACTTACAAATCGTGGCCTAAAAATAGAGATCTCTAAGATCCTGCAGGCTGCTCACCAAACAGAACTGATTTGCTTGCACAGCATGAAGGGGTCACTAAACAGCAGCCACAGGTTTCACACAGCAGCCACTGAAAGGCATCTCAGGTGACATTTTGTTTTCCCTCCAGTGATGTTCTGAAATGTCGGCCCCTGCAAGACACCTGGAGCTGGGAAGCAAGGAACAGGGGATATGAGCTTTCCAAAAGATTTGTCTTTGGGGCTGAAATGTTATATGCTTGGCACATGTCAAAAGCTGGCTTTTTGGCAAGAGTTTGACACCGACTCCTTCCAATCTGCTTTAAGGAAAAAAACCCAAAAATGTTCTGCTTGTCAAAAAAATACTGACTCAATTCTTTTTCCTTCTGCACAGGAATGGCTGAAAGAGGAGGAGCACTGGACTGCTGAGCTCCCTTGAGAAAATCAGGATCCCTGGCTCTTTTCTAGGAATCACTTGGTGATCTCCAGACACTCCACAAGTGAGGTAGGTTTCTTTATTATCCTGCACTATGGACAGACTGGCAGGGAGCAGAGCTTGCTGCACATTCCTGGGTATCACTGATGGTGAAGAGGAGAAGCCCAGATCACTTCAGACCAGGCTGTCCATGAGTGATCCACAGTCGAGGTCTGTCTATCCAAGGGTTGCTGTGCTGGAACGCTGCAGTGGGGACCTGGTCCATCTGTCCCCACTAACTGGAGCTGTGCTGGCACTTACCCAGGCGCACCTTCACAAAAGACACCACAACCCTGGCATCTTTAAGGATAGAAGGGGTCTGGCAAAGAAGGTTGAGAAGATAAAATGAAAGATACCAGAGATATCAAAAAAGTGACTCCCGTGTTTACAACTTGATCCAAGGTGAATATTAGGCAGTAAATGAGCTTTTATTTTTATTTCTTCTCTAGTACATAATTTGTGTCAACCAGCAAAGAGTTACAGTAGTATTAAAAAGCTGAAGAGCTTTCTTGTTTGGCTGCATTTTTCCCTTTGCCTTAACTCTGATGCCTTTCAGGCATGTAACAGCCTGGGCAGCTAAACTCTGCTTTTTGCAAGTAGCAGATAGATAAACACAGATAAAATTGGTTGCTGAATGGCATTCAATCTACAGCTCATCGACAGCATTGACTGTTCTTTAGCTGCCAAATTCCAGGCAGCAAAGCAAGAAAAAGCAAAGGAAATTAACAAGACTTGAAGTAAATAAACCTCCAAAACCTCTCCCCAGAGAGCACAAAGAACCAGAACTGACTGACTCCTTTTGCTATGGTCATTATATGGAAGGCACTAAGATGTGGCATTAGATCTCTAGGGACTGTAAGGGGAAACAGCTTTCCAAGTGTCAGGGCTACAAACAGGATACAGCTTCCCAAATTCCCAGCTCCTAACTTAGCTAGGGCATAAGCAAATCTCTCACCACATTTTCCCACTATGGTAACATGTCAGGTCCATGAAAATGTCACTTTACTCAGCTGTTATTTACAGCTATAATGAAAGATCTGGCTGAGTTATTTGACACACATCTACATTCTCCGCTCTAGAAGATAAGCAGTATTTGTTTAACAGACCATTTATTTTCCCAATATCTGCACGTATTGCACATTACGAGTAATTTATACCAGAGCCGGATGAGATTATATTGGGAGGTGATAACAGAAAATGCAAAGCTCAGGTAGAAAGAAGGGGTTTATTATTTCAAAGAATTACATCCTTCCTGCTTATCTCCCTCTTTTATTTCAAGTGGGAAATGTGTGCTGCTTTGCTTATTGTCCACAGGGTTATGTAGGGACACAATGGAAATTCAGCAGCTAGAAGACATCACCCTCCATGTCTTTCATCAGAGCCACACTTTTCAGAGCAGATGATGAGATCCCAATGCCTGTTTCCCTGATCTGCCCAGAAGGGACATCTGTCACATCAAGTGAGGCCCAGAGCCATGCCCTGTCTGTCACCAAGGAGGAAGAGGAGTGAGTGCACATCCAGAACTGGGTGGGGCTGAGGGACAGGGAACAGCCAGGTGGGATTAGCCTTTGCCAGGAGAGGACTCAGGCATGGAGCTGAAGCTGGAGGAATTCCTGCAGGATCCAGTCCCGTGGGAGTGGCTCAGAAGTGGGTCAGGATGCCAGGCTGCCAGCAAGCCCTGAGGCAAACCCTGCTGTGCTGCCAGATGGGTGCCCTGCTCCCTGCACCAGCCGGGGGCTTCCCCAGAGCTGCTGGGACCCACAGGGCCTGGGGAGTCACGTTCCCTGTCCCTGCCTCGTGTGTGGGCTGCAAGCTGGCTCAGCTCGGGGTGCTGGGCCTCCCTCTCACGTGTGCTTTCAGGGTAGGTGCTGACAGGTATGGAAATCACATAAGAAAAACCTTTGATGGCCATGTTCCCCACCCAGCCCCTACAGATATTGCCCCATTCCTGAGGCACTTTCAGTGCAGGATGAGATGCTGGCTCTGTGACCCAAGGGGTCTTCAAAATGCTGCATGTCAGGAAGAGATGTTCTTTTGGGGTTTTTAATATGAGCCATTAATCCAACAGGATTGGCACAAATGCTGACTTGGACCACGTTGTTGGGACCCCACTGTTGTCTGTGAAGGCTGTGCCAAGGGGCAAGGTCTCCTTCTCCATACTTGAGATGAAGCTGGGATCTCCTCCCACCACCCAAAAGTGATTCTAAGTCATTCTTGCTGCTGAATGTAAGTAGAAATTCCCTTCATCCCCACAGCTGATTCAACGGGATATAGTCCCACAGAAGTCAGTGCTCACTGAGGCAAGCTGAGCGCACAAACACTTCAGTCTTACAAAGTAAAAGGAACTTCTGCAGTGGCAAAAGCTCCTTTCACTGCTGGGAAGGAACATAAAATCTGCTGCTTCAAGAACACACAATGGATAGCTCTGCAGACGAATGTGAGCTTGATGTCCCCTGATATCCATTAGGAGTTCTCTGATGGATGCAAAGCATTTATTTCAGCACAGTCCAAAACAGTTCTTCTAGCCTCAATCAGTAACCCAGGGCAAGAGCAACAGGGAAAAACTCTAAGCAGATATGGGTACTTTGATGTCATTTCATTCCCCACGCTTTCAGCAACTGCTTCTTTGTGCATATTATTAGGATTTATTTTGTTGTATTTCTGTTCCTTCTGACCCAGCTTTACAGACACAGTCTAGAGAATTCAGCAACCCAAGTCATAAGAATCAATTTAATAATGTTTCAGATTTAAAAGGCAGAACTAGGTAAAAGTCACCTTCTATTTTCCTTAGGATATTTGCACTTAAGCACAAAACACTTGACAAATTCCCTACATGGACTTTATTTGAAGAAATAAAAGCCAATTTATCCTGCACTACAAGTAAAATGAAAAAAAAAAAGTCCCTAAATGGTGTTGAACTTGTGGTATTTATGACTCTGGCCCTAAACTGCCTTTCATATTTTCTTGGATCCCAAAGCTGTTCCCAAATTGGCTGGTTAAATGTGAATAAATGGTGCATTGTCTTTGAAACAAAGTTGTGCTTATTAAAGAGCAGAGAGTTTACTTTTTCAGAGTCACAGTTAATAACACAGAGCAGAGAGAGCACAGATTTTACACACAAGAAAGTCTTCGATAAGAGCATGCAATCTCCTTTCAGTCTCCATGAGAAGGGCTGTCTGTCCTGAAGCAGAAAAATTTTGTAACATATTTGTGAAGTTGGAGGAAAATAGCTGACTGCAGAAGAATGCAACTGGGTTCAGAGTGGTGGTTTGATAGTTGTGCAGCAAAGAATGGTATGAAATGCTTCACTCAGATCTGGAATGTTGTTTCCTTCACCTGACAGCAATTTATTGTAACTGTACATAGTAGAACCTTGGCTGTTGGTGAGTTATGTATGGTTTTACAGTATTCCAACACAAAGAGTGCAGGTTGTGTTCCTGGCTCTGTCACGTTTATAAGCAAAACAAACACTAATATAACAGGCGATTAAAACCAGCATTTCTTGGTGTGCAAATAGCTGCAATTATTGATTTGCCAATTCCGCATGCTCTGATGAACAGCAGAGGAATAAACTTAAACAGAAGCACATTCATGGGTTGCATAACTGCTCATAGATCTGCAAGCCCTTGTAAATGGCAAAATTAAAGCTAATTAGACACTGCAATTTAGAAGTATGAAGCAAGCAATACTCTTCATATTTTTCCTGCTTTAATATCAGCTGCAAGTACAGTATCTGCACAGTGGAAATGAGAGGAAGTGAAACTCTCTGTAGTCAAATAGAGTGAAAATTCCTATTTACTTCATTATTTTGCAGTGAACCAGAGCTAAAGAGCAGAGCCCAGCACCACTCCAAATAACACAGTCCAACTGGTTTCAGCATTTGGATCCCTGCAAACTTCTGTACCTGCTAAGAGCATGGAATTCCATACATTCCCAATGTATGGAACCCATACTCTAAGTAGGAGCCCTTGCAATGTGATTCAGAATTTGGAAACATCTACAGTGTGAGCTTTTCTGAAGTGTCCAAAATGTTCATTAATGAGCAAAACAATTGAAAAACTTTACTTTACACAGATCACAGGAATAACTTTTTTCCCTGTAGGAGTCAAGCACTAAAAGTCTCAATCCTAACAGCCCATGAACTGAAATAAATTTTCTCATGTTTTTTCTTCTTCGATATGTAAGGACTTTCTTGGATGATGTGGTGGCCAGCTGTCATATGACTGGAATGGAGACTGTCACATCCCCATTACAGAGTTTTGCAGACACCTTCAGCCCTGCTGTTTTTTGCTCCAGCAGCATTCACTCACCTTCCTCCCCAGTTTTATTTTACAGACATTCAGGAACAGCCTGACACTGCCAAATCAGAGGCGTGTGGGTAACCTTGTACCTAAACACTCCCTTCGAGATGGCACTCACACCCAGGCATCTGCAGGTAAGGCTCCATATTAGGAACTGCAGCATTAGCAGGTTTGAGATTTGACTTTCATAATAAACCCTCACACCCTCTCCACTGTGAGGAGTCATTGTTCATGGGGAAGGTTTTGGCATGTTCAGGAGTAAAAAGGCAGTTTTCAGTAATATGCTCGAAATGCCTTAGAACTTGAGAAAGTGCACGAGGGTTTGAGGAGTCATTGCAAAATGTCTCTATGGGAAAGAAGTCTAAATTGTCACTAAACCAGAGGTAGATAAATTTTTCTCATGGAAAGATTTGTGCTGCAGTTTTAAGCCAATTAACCATGTTGAATACACCTACAAACATCTTTTATACATGTTTTAAAAAATTTTAAAGAGCCCTGGGGAAGAACTTTCATCATCCTTTAAAAACCTCCACCACCATTGCTTATGCTCTGAACGCTGTGTTTTAAAAACAGGTTTTATAGCTCAGGGATAGAAATAAACAAATAAAACAAAATAATAGTGCTAATAAATCTACCCAGATCCCATATTCAAGCATTTCACTGGCACTGCATCAGGCTGACCGAGACCTGCAGTGCTGTGCCAGCTGTCTGAGCTTACAAACCACCACCCCCGGCTCCGCTCGGCCGCCAGCGGACAAACCTTTCACACAGGCTCATGCCACAAAGCCCGGCTCCAGCCAGGGCAGCGGCACACAGCCCTTCCCAGACCCTGTTCCCGGACACACATCCCTACCCTGGCCCAGCTAAAGGGCACTTTTGTCTCTCTTTCAGCCACGGCTCCAGCAAACGCGGCTGCACGCTCCTCACAAACCAGATGCGGGATGCCAGGGCGTAATGATGGCTGGGAGCCAGACCCCCCTGCCTCGGTCCGGATGGATGCAGCTCCAACCTGTACCTACCAGGCAGAGCAGTGTCACCGAGAAACAACTACACTTTTCCGAAGGTGGGCAGGGGAGCTTGGTTCAGGCATGGGGTTTCACTCCCACACCGTTATTAGAGTTCACCCAGCCAAGCTGCCAGCACTCTGTGAGTGTATCCAAAACCCCTGCCCGGCACTGGGCCAAGCCCTGCCTGGCACAGCAGCGGCGCTGCCAACACCGGACCGCAGCCGCCACGGGCAGTCCGGAGCGCCCTCGGTGGTGAGGGGCGCTGCGGGGGAACTCAGCCCAGCGGTGCCCGGGCAGTGGTCACAGGCGCCCTCCTGCCTTTCCCCCGCGGGGCCCGGAGGGGACAGAGCCCGGTGCCCGGTTTGGCTCTTACCACTTTGCCGTCCTTGGCCTCTCGCCGGTGGCCCGGGGCCGGGGGGTCCGCACCGCCGCTGCCCCCTGCTCGGCCCTCACCGGGCGACAGGGAGTAGAAGGGGGGGCTGGGGCTGGGGGGCAGCCCCGAGTCCGGACTGTCCAGCAAGCCTTCCCGGCTCTTCTCCTTCAGGCTCTCGTCCATCCCTTGCAGCTGGAGGTGACCTACCATGTCTGGGGGACAGCGAGGGGGCCGCGGCGGGAGAAAATCCTCCAGCGCCGCCCGCCGCGGAGGGAGGGAAGGGGAAGGGAGCCCGGGGGGCCCCTCCTGCGTCCCGACCGCCGCTACCAGCCTGCCGGAGCCCGGTGCTGCGCGGGGCAGCGCCAGCATCAGCCGGACCGGGGTGTCCCGGCCGCCTCCCCTCCACCGGCCCTGGCCCTGCCCGCCCGGCCGCCCGCCCTCAGGCGTTCCCAGGGGAGGGAAGCGAAGCCCGATCCCCCCGCCCAGCCCCGCGGGGACGCGGCCGAGTACGCGCGGCAGCGCCCGGGGCGGCCCCGCCGGCAGGGAGCGCTGGGCGCGGCGGGGACGGGATGGGGACGGGACAGGGATGCGCCGCGCTCGTCCACAGCCTGCGCCGCCCGCCGCCTCCCGGCGGCTCATTTATCCGGAGAGGGTGGGAGGGAGCCGGGCAGCGCCCTCCCCTTCCCCCGGCCCCCCAGCTCTGTCCCGGCCGCGCGTTCTCGGGCGCTTCCCAGGCACGGAGCGCGTTCGGCGCCGCCCGCCCGCCCTCTCCGTCCTGAGGGAACGGGGCAGCCCCCGCGCACCGCCGGCGGCAGAGGGGTGTCCTCACACACCCACACACTTCCCCGTGGGCTGTGGCTGCCCTCTGCTCATTTCCTCACTGCTGTCCGAGTTTTCCCTCATTTATGTTCCGTTTTCCACTCCGTTCTGATTTTTGTCCCTCTTCTATCTCGGCACTCTCCAGGGCTTGGAAAAGGGCCTCGCCACATACAACACGCCATCACAGGGGCACAGCTTCTCTCCGCTCATTCCCTCACTGCTGTCTCAAGTTTTACCACACTCAGAGCTGATTTTCCCTGCAGTTCTGATTTTCATCATCCTTTTTTCACCTCCACACCCCCAAAGTAGCCTTTCCCCTCAGTGTCGTGGCTTGTGGGCATGAGGGAAGAGACTTTCCTCTTGAGAACCAAGGCAGCAGGTAACCATGGCAGTCTTGGCTACCAAGGTGCACAAACCTGCCATATCCCCTCATGGCAGCCCTCACACCTCCTGCCTCCCTCACTCCTCTTTCTTTGGCTCCACAGCTTCTGGTCCACAACCAAGGAAGCGGCCTTCTTATCCCAGCCATTGTGTGATCAAGGCCAACATAAACGCCATGGAAGAGCATCCCAAATCACAGCACAGCCTCTAGCCAGGAGGAGCATCATGTGCCAGCACGGAGGAGAATGAAGAGTCCACCGTAACCCTCAGGGTTCAGAGAAGCAGCAGTGGTTAAAAAGGTCAGGCTGGCTGAAGCCAATATGGTTATTTGTTGCACAATAACCGGTTGAGGCTAATGTTACCTTGTCCACAGCCCTGGCTGTGTTTTTCTCATCATGTTTTCTCTCTACATAGAGTCTAGACTTTGAGAAATCTAGGGCAAGCCCACTCATATGGCTCAGCTCAGTGGAGCTTTATTGATGGCAAATAGGTTTCCATGGGAAGCTGTTGAAATCCAACTGGCCCTCTCTTGGTCTGAGTTATTGGCCCAGCACTGAGTGAAATGAGACTGTGTCTGTTTGTGCTACAAAATGGACAAACACAATGCTTGTTGTGGCAACAAATGAAAATGTGAGGGGTCTGATACTGTGCTTAGTGATAAAGGCTTCACACCCAAATCACAAAGATGGTGCAAAGTCCTTGGAAGTTGGGTTGAACCTTAAAGTGCCCCCACTGCATCCTCCTGAGGGAGCAGATCCCACTATGTGTTCCTACTGAATTCTACAGGGAAAGCTAAGGATGCCCAAATCCACCTTTGACTGAAATGAGGGGCCCTCCTCAGAGTGACTGAAGCGATTTGTATGCACTGAGCTGTGCAGAGGAATGTCACTGATTTGTAAATGTCAAACAGGCACCGAGCAGCCCACACACGAACCTCAGTGAATTCTTACCTCTGACCCACTCGTCGGCTCCAGCAGCTGCACAGGCGGATTTAGAGCCCCTTACTGTAAGGGCTCTCATGTCTCACACGGGCTACGGCTGATCTGAAAATGTCAAAGGGGACTGAAGGTCAAAATTTCCATAAATTAGTCCCTGGCTTGCTACCTATCAAGTAATAGGATTCTCTGGCCAGTTAACACTGTGAAGTCAGGCATTCAGCCCAGCAGTTCCCCTGCAGCCCAGTTCCCCTGCCCCTCTCCTGAACTGGCTCAAGACCATGTGTGCAAGGGGAAGGAGTGTCTTCAGAGCTGCTTTCCTCCTCGGAGAAAAAAGGAGCAGGACAAAGAGACACTGGGCAGGGGTGAGTTCACTGTTCTTTTGTCCTAGAAAGCCCTGGTTTAACTTGGGGAACAGTCGAGAGGAGACTGGTTTTTCTGTTTCTTATTTTGAGAAAATTACAATCCAACCTTTCCCAGACCTAAATCATGTATGTTTCTAAAGGTAGATTTCAGTACAACACGTGTTCAGCTCAGAAGTGGTTGTTATGGTTTAGGACTTGCTGAGCTCCAAACAGCTGAAGACACAAAGCACTGCTGAGCATCCCCCAGCACTGGTAGGGATGTTGAATTCATTTATGAATGGCAAAACTGCTGCTGGTTCTGCAAGGCATGTGTGCACACACCTAATGTTGATATTATTATTATGGTTGTTGTTGTTGTTTTGCAGCACATGTGTGAGCTGTGGTGGTATTATTGTTGTTATGGTTATGATTAGTAATCTGTTTCAGGTTAGTAGTGGGTTGCTCACCCAGGCTGGAGCTCTCTTGTGAAAGCACAGAGCAGGCAGGTGGTAAGAAATGCTCCTGTCCTGATGGTTGACTCAGACTTTGGTCAGAGTCCTCCTGGAGTCACAGTATTTTGCTCTTGGCCAGTGAAAATCAGCCTGAATGGAAATTTGGTGAAGGATTCAGTGTGCAGACACATGTGTATACATGGTATGGTAGAATTATGCCTGGTGAAACAGAATTTAAATATTGCACAGTGCCCTGACAATTGAGAAAAGGAGAAAAACAACAAATTTTTCAGCTGAGGCCATGTTGCTTTACTGAAACCCTCCTTAGTTCAGCACTTCTTCATTTGCTGGAAGGAATCACTAGGGACTGGTGCATTCCTGTATCTTGGCCTGGGAAAAGGGAAACTGGGCCCTTGTGTGCATGGTGGGACAAGGAGAAAGGAAAAGTCTGGAGGGGAGTTTTCTGAAGCAGCTGAGTGGAGACAAACAGGTGCAAGCACAGTGGTACAAGGGTAGCAGTGTGAAGGCACAGCCTTGGGGAGAGTGGCCTCCACTACCAGCACTGTCTCCAAAGGAAAAATCCTGCCTTGCTGTGAATTTGAGTGTAAAACTGCAAATAAGTAGTAGGGAGTCAAGTAGCAGAAAACTAGGGAATATTCCAGCAGGACTGTGTCTCTTAAGATTCACTCTCAGGCAGTGGTGCAATCCTGACAACAACAATTAGAGGGCTTTTTGAAGCACACATTTCTCAGAGCTTCTCCAACTTTTTTTTTATTGATCTATTTGTTATAAAACACAAAATCCTAGGCCCAGTCCTGAAACAGGTGGGAGGTCACAAGAGAGGGAGTGTGTGGACAGTGGGGGCAGGAACCCAGGCAGCTCTCCTGATGTGAGCAGCCCTGCTCCTGGATAAAAGCTGGTATCCTTCCTCAAATCCACTGAGATTCAAGCCTCTCCATGCTTTTACGAGTCCTCTGCCTTCTGTTTTCCTAGCTGTTCTCTTAGCTAGATTTGAGTACTTTAGGAATCTGCCGTCCCACAGACATGGCAGAGACTCAGCATCACGTGCTAAGTTTCCTTCCACTGCTGCCAGGCTTGAAAGACAAATACAGTGAGGGAAGAAAGAGACAGGATACAAACACCTACACCAGGACTTTTTCTGAAGCAGGCTGGGTGGCAAAACAGGAAGAATGCTAGGAATGTCCATTCTGGTTCACTGTCGAACCCGATCCCTGAGAACACCCACAGTGTAACTCCAGTCCCAGTAAGAGTGGCTCGGGCCATGGTAGGATGTAACTGCTCTCTGGTTCCCTCCTAGGAACAGCAGCCTTCCCTCTCTGCCATGGCTTCCTGACAATAGTGTTGAAAGGCACCAAAGCAGCAGCATCACTGAAAGGAATACGACCACAGAGCAGGACCCAGGTCTGTCAGACCCAGACTACCCTTGCCTGGCACACTGCAAGTTGTTCACCTCAGCCCAAAATGATTCCAAGCATGAGGGCAGCAAATCACTGCTCACTGCACAGGTCCAGATGTGATACAAAGAGCAGGAAGCACATCCATAGTGCTGGACCTGGAAACCACATGCCAATAATGATTAATTTTGCAGCAGTTAATTTTGGTAGAGTTCAAATCAAAGGAACCTTTCTGCCTAAAAAGCAGAGGCTGTTTATCAAGAGATAAAATCACCTCCTGATAGGTCTGCTCGTTTATTTTTAGGCAGCCCCTACATCAGAAATTTTTTCAACCTTGACTCCCAAATCTTGGCTGTCTGCTCCAGTGAAGGCCACAGCCCCCTCAAGTGATGGCTGCACCTGCTCTGGCCCTGCTACCCTCACCAGACAAACAGCCCTCCTAGCAGTGACTTGGAACAAACTGTCTGGCAGGAAATGGGAATGAAAAGCACAAGAATCTCCTATTCTGGGGTCAGGAGTGCCTGTTCTTGGCAATAAATCAAAGGAAGCAAATTTCCTTTGAATAGCCTGGACTTGAACAAAGACGGTCCATCTCCCAGACGAGGCAGTAGACTTTGTGACTGCAGGAAAGAAGGATGATCTTTGAAGAACATGCACAGGGTTGTATGAGAATGTTGCCTTTTCATATTTGACTGCAGCGTGTAGATTTGTGCCACAATCCAGACAAAAAACTCCAACTGAACACTGTATCACAGAACGAGCAAAGGCTCTGGAGCACAGAAAAATTATCAAGACTTCTGCTGACCCTGCTTGCCTTTGAGTAGGGTGCCACATGATGAGTATTCAATTGCCTATGGTGTCCAGCCAGATATTGTTACAGACCTGAATCAAAACACTCCTCCCTGCCTTACTGCCCCAGAGAAGGAGCTGCCTGTTATCCTGTGAAATTTCCTCTGCTTGTCTGTCAGGGCTGCTGTG